AACTGAGGTCATGACAGTTGGGAGGAGGAAGCATTAAAGAACTAGAGGAATGTTGTGTGTTTCATCGGCGCTATACTGCACACTGGCTGGCTTGTCCCTTCCTTGTGACCCTTCTGTGAGGGGATGTCCAACTGTCTACAGATGGGCTTTGGGTTTCCACTCCGACCCCCCTTGTTCACATTGAAATGGTTGTTTGTTTTGGGTCTTCTGATGCCTGATATCTGATCCCATACCTAGTGATCATACAGGCTGGTGTGCTTCTTCCATGTAGGATTTGTTGCTTCCCTGCTAGATGGCCACTTGTTTACCTTCAAGCCTCTAAGACCCCAGACACTATCTCTTGTAATAGCCGGGTACCATCAGCTTTCATCACCACATTCGTTTATGCACACACCGGGATGGGTTCTTGCATTGAGGGAGGACTTGAGTTGAGGCCCAGTGTCCGTGAAAGACTTTTTAAAGTCACTGTAGACAAAAGGTTTGGAAACATGGAAAGAATTTCCCAATCAGCATAAAACTCTTCTGAACAGAGTCTGACAAAACAAGTATTAAAGCTTAAGGTCCAGGTTGGCAGGGGAGGCCGAGGTGGGGACCGAAAAACACAAAACAAAAAAGCTTAAGGTCTGATGGAAAGGAAAATGCAACGTGGCCCAGGTAGTTCAGTTAGCAAGCATAAGTGCTGGAGATCAGGGCCAAGGGGGTACAATGGTCCACTCAGCAAATGTCCGTGCATTCCTGCCGGGTGGGACGGACATCAGTGATGGCCAAGGAATGCACTGCTTCCCTCTAGACCAGTGTGTCTTCTTTGTCAGGTACCACTTTTCAATGATGACAGTCATTAAACTCAAGGGTCAAAATGAACTGAATTGGGATTCAAACCTTGGAGTAGCCTTACCTAAGTATTATGTCAGGATTATTTTCGTGAGCTGCAATAACACAATTAATTGCAAAAGGACACATTTGCTGAAGGCCTGAGGTCCATGTGCCATGTTATTTAGGTGGATCGTGGTGCCCACCTTCACGGAGAACAAAACATAACCCTCAGATCAAGCCTTCACGATGGCAAAGTGAAACTCGAAAATCCAGATACCACCCCCCCAATATCCCCTAAGATTAAACGAAAGCCCCTAAGTGTTAAACAGCACAGGGGCCCCATGTGACCTGCGGTGACGTGAGTGAGCAGGAGTCGGGCTCCACACCAGCCAGGGCCTAGCGCCATGAGGCAGAGGTCAGGCAGGCCTCCCCTTCACCCTGTAGTCGTGCCCCGCCCCACCCCACCACGCTGCGCTGCTTCTGTGCTGGGCCCCATAACTTCTTGCAGTGGCCACACAGAACCCACAGGCAATGCTCACGACCCTGGGGGATTACTAGGGGCATTAGCAGGTTACCACAAGCCAGAATCAGTCAACAGTCAGGAAGGAGGCAGTCTTGGGTCCTGAGCAGCACCTCTCCTCAGGCAGCAGCCGGGACTCTCTCTCCATCCCAGTCGTCAGCCTCTCAGCCACATGGTCCCTTTGGCCTCTGCCTTTGTGGGCCAGGAAGCCGGCCTGTCACTCTGACTTCAGAGTCCCACTATCTCAGTGCTGCTCTTCTGCTGTCTCAGCCTTGGCCTCTGGTCTCAGCCTGACTCCTTTGTTCTGTCCCTCGGTCTCTGCTGCAGTCTCTGTCTGGAACACGCTCCCCTGGCAGCTCCTCTTCCTCGATGGTCCCGGGATTTCTCTCTGCTCCTGCTTCTGGGATGGCTCACCCTTAAGGCCAGGGAAGTGGCAACTAAAACTGACCAATCTCTTGTCAGAGTCTCACACACTCAATTTGCATGGTCCCGCCCAGTCATTTGGTGGGAGTTAGAGACAGGGTGAAAAGAGCCACATTCAGAGATTTATCGGTACCACAAGCTAGCACAGGGCAATGCCCGATAGGTGGAGATGCTCTGCAAACATTAGCTTCCTTTCCCTTGTACCATGGGAGGGAAGGAGGGCAGGGAAGAAATCAGTCCGTCTAGGTTTGGGACCAGGCAGGGAGCTGTGCAACGTGGGACATAGTATTTCATGCCATCAGGGGAATGGAAATAAGGGTGACTTTCTAAGGCTAGAAGTCAGTAACGACTACTGCTCCCTCTGCTGATCCACAAAGGACATTTCATAAGCGCCTAGGCCGCCTCCTTCAAGATCATGACCAAACCCTAGCATCACCAGTCTCGGAACGGAAGAGTCATCAGAGCCTCTTCTCTGGCGAGAATGACAACAACGCAGTGCATGGCTGGGCCTAACATCAAGTCTGTGCTTTTCAATATGTCTTCCACAAACACCACCGCATTGCCGGCAGTCGGCTCCAACTTACAGGGCAACGTTGCCAAGACCGAAAATCCAAACAGGTGCAGGTAGCCGCCTCTTTCTCCCACAAAGCAGATGGAAGTCCAATGTCCAACCCACTCGGCCCCAGGGCTCCTGAGGTCCACATCCTGTGGTATAGTGGGCAGCCTGGTGACTCTGTGGCTGTCGGACCAGGTCTCTCTGCTTCTCAGTTCATGACTTTTCCCCCCATCTTGTCACACTCCGTAGTGGAGACCACTGACGTGTTGCAAGGGAGTCCATTTGGACTCAGACTGACCCTGTGGGATGGAACAGAACTGCCCTCTGCATGGAAGCAAAAGGCCACACTTTCCCTGCTGAGTCAACAAACTTCTGATAAAACTAAATGCTTAGTCATACTCTGTAACACGCACTATTTTAAGGGTTGAGGAGGACATTTTTGAAGTCTGAAAAGAGACAAAGACAACACTGGCATGTCACCCAGGTGAGGGAGGCCCCCAGCATGTGGTTCAAATGGCGTATGAGGATTTACAAGTGGGCAGCAACATCAATCAGGCAGGGGACTGTTGTGAAAGCACGATGGTGCCGGATCACAGGTGCAGGTGGGATGACAGAAGCAGGACCAGGACCATGATTAGGACATGCACACTGTTAGATAGAAGGGCTTACAAGATTGGCCCAGAGTTTTCTAACCAAGGTGATCAGGGTGAGACTGATAGGGCATGATTCACATCTATGCAACTCCCTGTCCTGTGTCCAGTCCGGTAACCTCCGGCAAGGACACATCTGCAAACCCTAAGAGAGAGACTGCCCCTCCTTGGGCTGGCCGGAGACCAGTGGAGGCAGTCCACTCTCCAAGGCATTCTGCCTGAGGGGAAGATTACCTATATCCTTGGTTACTGATCAGAAAGCACTGAATGCAGGTTGTTTAATCTGTGGGGACTCTGCAAATGGATTTTGGGCTGTCACTGTCATCCACAGCCTTTTGCAAACCATGGGGCTCAGAAAGTAAACTCTAATACGGGGTCAGAATAAAGTGAGCATAACCTGAGCCTTGCAGGTTTCCATGGCTGAGGACGTTATTGCTGTTAAAATACGTCTACATTTGTTCTAGGGGAGAAGAGACCCCAAATCCAAATTCAAATATGATTTATAGAGCCACATTTATTATCTCTTACACAGAACAAAATTAAAGCAAAGAAAAATCTTCTAGATGAGAGGACAGGAGACCATCAGCACAAGGCCATACGGTGTTCAGAGTCACAGAAATGCCGCTTCCATAGGACAGAGAACAAAGGAAGCAGTCACAGAATGACTGATGGCAAACCAATTCATCATAGTTGCAGGCAGGACTGCAGAACTGGAGAAGAGACTGTAATTGCAATATGTACGTGTGCTGTTGCTGATAGGAAAGCTCACTATTTGGAATTCTAAAACCCTGAATCCCAAGAAGTCCTGGTAGCGTAGTAGGTTATGTGTTTGGCTGCTAACAGCAAGGTCAGCAGTTCAAAAGCATGAGCCTCTCCAAGAGAGATGAAACTTTCTTCTCCTGTAAAGAGTCACAGGCTCAGAAACTCACATGGGCAGTATCTACCATGTCCTATAGGCTCCTCGAGAGCAGGAATTGACTTGATGGCGGTGAGTTTTTTATTTCAACCCTAGGGAGCCGTTCTACCCTACCTTATAGGGTCGATAATAATCAATTGATTCTATTGCAGTTGGGACCCTAAATTCCTAGGGCTCAAATTGCAAGGAGCCTAGCTGGCACTCTCTGGTAGGTGACAGACTGCTAACATCAAGGTTTTCAACTCAAATCACCGTGGTTCCAGAGAGAAAGATAATGCTGTCTGCTCCTGTAAAGATTTGCAGCCACAGAAACCCTAGCTCTCTCAGAGGGTGAAATTGACTTGCTGGCAGTAGCTTGCTGCCCCAAATACCATCCAGAGCACACCCAGGCATGTCCCTAAGGGCGAGGTGGACCCTCTGCAGGCTGGCTAAGTAGCAGCAATTCGCTTTCAAGACACCTCTCCTGAGGGCAAAGCCTTTCACCCAGTCAGTCAACGGTCAGAAAGAATTCAAAGGAAGCTGAATCTATGTGGGCACTCAAGAATGTATTCAGGGCGCCCTGCATACCCAGTGTTTGGAATTTAAGCTCAATACACCTTATTATCGTTTTTTTTGGTCACTCAGCTTAAGTCAGGAAAGGCTTCTTTTGGTTTTTGCACAATGGTCATAGGAAAATCACCTGTGTATTTATGGTTTTCCTCCGTGTCCGCCACCAGTAGCAGTGGCTCGTAGGATGTTAAAACCATGGCCCAGTTCGACCAGGCTAACTGGTAAATCTCAAAGTGGGTGGCACTGGCTTGTGGGGGGCGGGGGGCTGGGACTCCTCACTCCTGTCAATCCCGAGGCCGACACGCTTAATGTAAAATACTCTGAGCCCAGTTCAGGCTACAAGTGCTCTATCGGCGGGGCTTAAAATAGGCACGGGAAGCACCAGCAAGCCACGTGAAATCACTCCGAGCCGCTCTGGCGACCACCTGGTAACAGGTCTTAAAATGTCTGAAAATTGCATCTGCGGCGCTTTTTCAACACCTGCGAGCACGGTGTCAGGTGACTCGAGCGGGCCCCAGAGTCACGTGACTCGGGCGGGCTGGGCGGGCACACGTCGGCCTGGTGGACCAGCAGTCCAGCAAAAGCCGGCCGATCGGCAGGGATGCCTTCACCTCCCTTCCAGACCGGTGGCCAGTCCCTACCCCCATAATAAGAGATCAGCGACTGGGGGTGCTGACACTCCCAGAGGTTCTTCCGTCCGTCGTCTTTCCGAAGTGTCACCCCCTGCGATGGCGCGAGTCTGCCAACGCGCCCCGAGCCTGTCACACGCCCAGGGGCTGGACCAGTCCCATCCCCCTCCGGACCCTTCCACCCCGCTTCCCGGAGCCCCCCGCCTTCCGTTTGCTCCCGGGGGTCGACGGTCACCGCGGGTAAGTGTCGGGAGCACCAGCTTTGGGGCACAAACTTGCTGGGTGCTCGGGGCAGGCCTCCGCTCTCGGTGCCCAGCGCCCAGGCGGGACTGGCCGACTCCCAGGACAGGTGGCGCTCGCTAGACGGGCGGGCGGGCGGCGGCGCTTACCCATTTGTCCAGGGGGACCTGGGCGAGGGAGCCGGTGCCCTGGTAGAGGTCCAGGCTGAGCTGCTCCAGGCTCAGCTTCTCCTGTAGGAAGTGGCCCAGGTACCGCTGCAGCAGGTACCGGCAGGCCCTCTTCTTGATGGACTCGGGGAACGGCCACGGCATGGTGGGCGCAGGGGCTGGGCTGCCGGCCCTGGCCGGCGCGGCCTACGCTGGTGGCCGGCCGTCCCTAGGGCCACGCCATCGCGGGGCCGCGCAGCGCCTGGGGGCCAGGCGGCGGAGGCGCTGGACTGCTGTCCTCGTCCTTTCTGGAGGTGCCCGGCAGGCGGGCGGGGCTGGGGCGCACACCTCCGTCGCTGCTACCGCCGCTGCCGCGCGCCCAATTTGTTGTCATCTGAGGGCGCGCGCCCGATTCTCGGACGCTCCCGGCGCGCTCGCGAGACTCGACCCGGCGCGCGTGCGCGCGTGTGGATTGTTTCCTCTTCCCGGCGGAAGTGACGCCACAGTGGGGCGGGCGGAGGCGGGTCCGCGGGGCAGTTCCGGCGCCGGGGGCGGGGCGGGGCGGGGAGCTATGGTGGAGGGGGCGGGGCGGCTGCAGACTCGGCCTCTCCAGGGACGCGCAGGTGAGCGCCCGGGCGGCGCGGGGCGGCGGGATCTCCGGGCGCGGGCGAGGCTCCTCCGGCCGGCCCCGAGGGTTACTGCTCTTGGGCCCGGCCTGGGCTCCGTGCTCTCCCCTGGACCCGGAGCCTCCGACGGCGGGAGGCTAGAACCCACGCCCTAGGCCGGCCCCGCGCCCTTCATCTGCCGCGCCTTGTTTGCTGGCTTCGGCGTAGCGGGCTGCCCCGCGAACTTAGGCTGTGCAGGTAGCTGGGGCCGCTGTCCGGGATCCCGGGACCTCCGCCACGAACTTGGCCCTGGGCCGCCGTCGGCTTCCCGCCCGAGCGGAACTGTCCGAATTAAGTCAACCCCTGAAGGCCGGGAAGCCCGGTGTCGGGCTCGAAGCGGAACCGGCCACGGCCCTCTCCGAACACCCATTTCCTGTTCTGCCGGTGTGGCCGGTTTCTCTTCTGCCCAAGGCTGGTGGCACGAGGGTGTTGGGTGGACAGTGAGTCTGAACAGACGGAGACTGGCCCTCCAGTCGATTCTTAGTCCCGGCGACCCGGTAGGACAGAGCAGAATTGCTCTCTAGGGTTTCCTGTAAGCAGTCACCGTCTTGGAAACACACCGGGGCCGTTCTCTCGTCCCATAAGGTCACTGTGAGTCAAAATCGACTTGATGGCTGGGAGTTTTGAGCGAAGCCTTTTTGGGAACTAGCCTCATTTTTCTCCAGAGGCGCGGCTGGTGTGACAGTGCGTTTCCCCACTGGTCACCCGGGCTCCTGACAACCAAACCCACTGCCATCAGGTCAGTTCCAACTCACAGTCAAGCCTGTGTACTGTTCATCAGGAGGTAGCTCATTATTGGGGCAAAGAGCCTCATCTTCCACACAGCTGGCGGGTACGAACCACCAACCTTGACGTGAGCAGGCCCAGGTTTACCCTACAGTGGGACTCTTGTTTAATAGATCTCTGTCGAGTCAGTCAGTGGTGATTCAACGATCCTATAGGACAGATTAGAACTGCCCCCGTGGGTTTCTGAGATTGTAACAACCTTTTACGGGAGTAGAAAGAGCTGACAGTTGCACACGGCAGAGTTTGTGGTTAATGGCCTAGGGAGTACCCCACTGCGCCACCAGGGCTCCGCCGTGTCGGAAACTTAACCCAAAGCCAAACCAATTGCCATCAAGTCAGTACACCGGAGATGCTTCATTAAGACGGGCAAATTAACACGGAGTTCACTGGCACGTGGTGGCGAACCCCTTGGGCACTGGACGGAGGAGTGAGCCTGTAACCGGGAGATCATTTTGTTTCTGAGTCACTGGCTCTCTGATAGGCCCAGAAGCTGGGGTTGTGGTGGCCCTCATCAGCACCCCAGGCACTTGACTTTCATTTCATCTCTCTGTGAAAGGTCAGCATTTCAAATCCCTCAGCTGCTCTGAGGGGGAAAGGTGCGGCTTTCTGCACAGCCTCGGGGACCCACAGGGACAGTTCACCCCACGGTGAGTCGGGGTTGGCTTGATGGCAGAGGTGGGTACATAGGGGTCTTGCCAATGAAGACCCTGCAGTTGGTGGTATGGGACGTAGAGAAGAAGCGCACCGGGTGATCCGGGAGCTTCCTTTCTAAAGCGCGGTGCCTTCAGTTATTCAGGAATGTTTTGCATGAGGGCCGCCACAACCCAGCTTCTGGGCCTGGCAGAGAGCCAGGGGCTCTGACATGAATGCCCTTACTGGTTGCCCGCTCCCTGCCCAAGGCCCTGGGCCGTGCACAGTCAGGGCTCAGTCCCTCCTTCCTGTACTGTGAAAGGAAGGCCTGGCAAGCCGACTCCGCATACGTTCGGGCTTAGAACTCTCTACAAGGGCATCTGCCCTGTAACACGCGGAGCAGTTAGGAGCCAGCGTCAACTTAATGGTAATGGGCTTGGCTTTGGGGGCTGTGCTGGGGAGGGGCCCTGGTGGCATGGCAGGTTATGATGTGTGTTCCTAACTGCAAGGTCAGCAGGTTGAACCCACTCCCGTGGGAGGAAGATGAGGCTCTCTACTCCCATAAAACTTAAGAGTCTCAGAAACCCACAGGGAAGGTGTGCTGTCCTACAGGGTCGCCATGAGTCAGCATTGACTCGGTGGTGGCGAGTTGAGTTACATGCGGGGATTGATGTAAGGGCCGGCGGTACCGCAACCCAGCCCCCTCCCCGACCCCCCAAGTTTTCAGTTTAGCACTTGGAGGAGCATGGACAATAACCAGGGAAGAAGTAACCTCTGGGGGGTGGGAGAGTGAAGTGGTGCCAGGGGCTGGCAATGGGGAGGGGAGAAGGGCTCATTGTCTTCGAGCAGGGCGACAAAAGAGTTTCTCCACTGCGGTGACATTTCACCAGAGGAAGGGAAAGTGAGCAGCAAGGCCTGTGGCTTCCCAGGCACAGCGAGTGGCAGGTTTCTCCACTGCGGTGACATTTCACCAGAGGAAGGGAAAGTGAGCAGCAAGGCCTGTGGGTGTGTGGCGAGAGCGAGTGGCAGGTGCCGTGGTAGTAGCGTGTGTGGCGAGAGCCTGGGCTTTCAGGTAGCCGGAGGAGGAGAAGCAGCAGCCCAAGGGGGAGAATCCTGTGGGAATCCCTGTGGCACAGTGGACCAGCACTTGGCTGCCGAAAGCCGGGGCAGGCCATCTCCGGAGTCCCCAGAAGTGGCTCAGTAGAAAGTCCTGGTAATCTTGAAAAACCAGTGATTGAAAACCCCAGACTTGTCTGGGTGGCTAGGGGTCAAAATGGACACCGTGGCCACTGGCAAACCAGTGTTCAGACTGTGGCTTTTCCTCAGTGAGACAGATGAGGAGTGGCGGGACATGGCAGCCTGAAGTTTGACACTCAGGCTGTACTACCCGCCCACCGTATGCTGGACAGACGGGATGGGCCGGGGGCAGTGGCAGTGTGTTGGACAGAGTGGGAGCATTGGATTCCGGTTATGTATTGAACGTAGTGGACGTGTCTGTAAATAATGTGTGATTGGGGGTGCCCAGGAATGGGGTAGCTGGATTGTACGCTCTCTCCATTTCTAACGGTGGGGACGTCCCCTGCTGTTTTCCTCACTGGTCACACCATTGCACAGTCACCAGCAGTGTCTCAGCTGATCAGGAGTCCCAGTCAGGCCACGCGCTCGCCAGCACTGGCTGTGTTCTGGGTTGGTTGGCTGATGGGTTGTCGTCTTTCTGAACATTGCTATTATTGCGGGGGTTGGGGTGGGAGTGGGGCTGGCATTTCAAAGTTTAGATCTGCATTTCCCTCCTGGCTAATGAGCTCCAGTGTCTCTGTGTATTTGTCACACACACACCCCTGCCCACCCCCAGCATCTTTTGATAGAGTGTCTGTGGGGTCCTTTGCCCATTTCTTAAGTGGACTACTTCCTCACTGTTAAGGGTTCAGGGATCAGTCCCCCCTCTCCCCCTCCAGGCTGGAGGTTCGCGTTTTACTCCTTTGAAGACGTCTTGTTGGCCAGAGTGTGTAATTTTGGGGAGGCCCCGTCATCTAGCATGTCTTCTGTCAGCGTCTCTGCAGTTGTCTGATAGCATATTCATGCCGTGTTGTAGGGCCCTACGTTTGCCCCGTTTCTACTTCCGTGATTACAGTTTCGGTTTTACATTTACAGTCGTCCACCTTGAGTTCCTTGTCAGTTAGGGGGTGAGGTATGGGTCCCATTTCATTTTCCTGCAAGTAGGTCTCCAGTCTTGCCGGCACCATTGACTACAATCAGCCGCCCACGGATGGATGGCCTCTCACTTCGGCCTCATTTGTTTGTCTTTCTTTCTTTTTTTTTTTTTAATTGTTTTATTATTTTTTGTAATCATTTTATTAGGGGCTCATACAACTTTTATCACAATCCATACACACATCGATTGTGTAAAGCGCATTTGTACATTCATTGCTCTCATCATTCTCAAAACATTTCCTCTCCACTTAAGCCCCCAGCATTAGGTCCTCATTTTTTCCCTCCCTCCCCGCTGCCCCCTCCCTCAGGAGCCCTTGATAATTTATAAATTATTATTTTGTCATATCTTGCC